ACCTGGTAGGTTCAAACACAGCCTGCGCTGAATACAGCTGCAACATTATGGAATTCCCCTATGGGGCCTGAGTGTGTGTTCCATATGTGCTTGATCCAGTGATCCGGGGAAATAATGTTCAGCGCATAGAGAAGTTTGATATGCGCTATATAAGTATACAATAATAATAATAATAATAATTGTTGTCGTCTTTGTCAACACTGAGGTAGCTAATACCACCAGGGACGTAGCCAGGATTTTGAAAGGGGGGGGGAGCCATTATGCAAATTACGTATGATCACGGCGGGGTACTCTGAACGTTCTTAGGACTGTTTGAGGGGATAAATTGAAAATTGCAATAGACGCATTATAAATAAGAGCAAAAATAATTATATAATCAATCAACAGTGGCAGATCCAGGAATTCAAAAGAGAGGTGAACCAGGGAAGGAGTTTCACAAACCAAGGAACCACCCACCGCAGCCCCACCATGGTTGGGGCTGAGGTAAGAAAATCTATTACTAGGGCATCTCTAGATGGCCGGAAATTACACTCTCGCACTTCGATTTGAATATATTTTTCTTCTTTTTTTTCCTTAAAAAAATGAAGGGGGGAGGGGGCCTTTACAGCACTGATCACCGAACGTTCGACATAGACACGCGTGGGCCACAAGAGTAACTTGCGAGTGACACGTGTGTAATAAGCTAATGAATAACTAATGACGAAGTGACCTATTTGACATTTGTTTATCCAAGCATTACGGCATTGAGTAAAATGCATGCTCGGCGAACCAACTACCTGCCTGCATATTTCGCGATGTCAACGATGTTGTTTAATACCAGACAAAAGACAGTTAGCAAGCATCGTTAGAATTACCTTTATTTGTAGACGTATTAAAAAATCTGGTACCCTACCACGCATGAAACATGAAAATAATGAGAGGGCATTTTGTGAGTCGACACCCACCTCAGCCCCACAATGGTTGGAGCTGAGGTAAGAACATTTGAGGAAATAGTACCTATAGATGGCCAGAAATGACACTTTTAGTAAAATTCATCATCATCACATCACCATCAGTCAAAATGAAGTGGAAAAAAAAATTCTCATGATCTTTTATCAAGGATTTTTGACAACCATAGAGATCATATTAATGTGTGTGTGTGATATACCATAGAAAACAAAGCTTAAAAACATTGTCTTTGAGTATGTATTTTACATAGGCCTACTTCAAAAACGTGATTTCACAACCACCTCAGCCCCACCATGACTGGGGATGAGGTGAGACAATTTGAGGAAATGGTACCTCTCAAAATGGCCGGAAATGACACTTTTACATACTGTAGTAAAATTCATCATCACCACATTACCATTATAGTCAAAATGAAACGCCAACAAATTTCTCATGAGCTTTTATCAGGGATCTACTTAATATCCAGGATAACTATGCCTAATTATAGCTTACTAAGCTTTAACTATATATACTATAGTATGATCAACAAATCACAACTTTTTTTTTCGCATTTAGCACAATTTTCTTTAATTTTTATTGCTATTAATATTATTATCAATTATTACTCTCGCCATCATCATCATTGTTATTATTATCATTATTAGTAGTAGTATTATTAAACAAACATTAAAAGAAACTTGCAAAAGGATAAAAACGAAATTGAACCACAGTATCGCATTTCTATCTTAAAAGACCTGGCCTGAGATTTATGGATTTAAGATTTTTTTTAATCACGCTTAGGCCTATGTGTTCTATTAGGCCTATGTATAACGTGTACTGATGCATATTTACATGTTTAGAAGTATTCATTTTGAGTGATTCCAGGAAAGGATTTGTATTGGCTCAAGAATAAGCTTTAAAATTTTAACACTGTGTACAAAAGGGGGGGGGGGCCGCCCCCCCCAATACGTCCCTGAATACCACCCTAAAATATGTTATTTTGGGTTCTAAATGTCTACAGCAGTTATTACGTTTATATGTTGTAAATTAAACAAATTTATTTAGGGTACTGAAACTGCTGTTAGTCATTTATGGTGGCCATTTAGAAAAGCGCCCTCAGTTGCCTCCTAAAAATCTTCACATTAATAAATTTACTGTTTACGTTACATATTCAAATATGGTCAAACCTGCCTCTTAAGTATTTATATTACCCATATATATGTATTATATTGGATTTGAAAACAGCACCCTCATGCGAAACTTCTCAGATTGCAGCCGATTTACCTCATATTCTGATTCCCTATTAACAAAATGGTCTAGAAAAACCATATGAGAATTTCTACTGCTCCAGGTGGCACCTACCAATTAATTTTAGCCTGGTCTGAAGACCGGGCCGACAAATTATGAAGACAGTAATGTCAATTCTCGCACCAAGTGAAAATATTACCCAATTTAAGCATTAAATCCCTAACATACATACATGTGGGTTGCCAGATGTTGGTGGCGCTATTTCAAAATAAATTCAATAAAACGGTTTATATAATAATAATAATAAGTGACATTTATAAAGCGCATTATGCCAGTAAGCCGACCCCAGAGCGCAAACAATCCATCATATTTAAACAATACAATACAGAACACATCATAAGAGAAATTCATCCAACAGTGTAGAAATTCGAGAAACATATTTACAATATTTATCATTCAAAAATAACACCATAAACGTCAAATAGAATAATTTCAATTGGTAACAATAGTTCAATTAATTTACTCTATTTACATTAACTTGATTATTACAAAAATATATTATTACAACAATAGTATATGGGAGAGGCTATCGGACAATATAGAAAATACAAGTATTAACAATATAAAAAGAAATTACAATGTATATAACTATTCATAATTGAGCATAAAATAGATCTATCAGTTGCATCATAATCCAATAATTAATCATTGATTATTACAAATATATATTATCATCTGCAAGATATCTGAATTTACAATTTAAAAAGGTAAGTTTTTAAACCAGATTTGAAACATTATATACATTATATATATACAGTATATCTTCCACGCATTCGACCTCCGTATCACCATACAGGCGAACATCCACACCCAACACATCCAACTTCCTCGATGTTACACTCAGCCTAAAAAACGGGTCCTTCAAGCCTTACAGCAAACCAAACAACCAACTAATCTACGTCAACACCAAATCCAACCATCCCCCATCTATCCTGAAACAAATTCCAACATCCATTAACAGACGCATATCCAGTATATCGGATTCCAGTGAATCATTTCATCAGGCCGCCCCCGACTACGAACAAGCTCTGCAAAACAGCGGATTCCAGCACAAAATGGAATACCAGCCTCCGCAACCAAAATCCCAAAAAAGTAATAGAAGCAGACAAATAATCTGGTACAACCCACCATTCAGCAAAGGAGTTAAAACCAACATTGGAAAATCATTCCTTAACCTCGTAAAGAAACATTTTCCGAGTGACAACATTTTGCACAAGCTGTTCAACAAGAACAATGTTAAAGTCAGCTATAGCTGCTCAAGAAACATGGGCAGTATAATCAGAGCCCACAACAAACAGCTTCTGCTTGCTAAGCAACAACAGCCAGATAAACTCTGCAATTGCAGGAAAAAAGATGAATGTCCACTCTCTGGAAATTGCCTCACCTCATCCATCATCTACAAAGCCACTGTCCACTCAAATGATGACACAAAATGCTACATCGGGCTCACCGACACACCGTTCAAAACCCGATACACAAACCACAAATACACTTTTAACACCCCCAAACACAGAAACAGCACAGTACTCTCCAAATACGTATGGAAAATAAAAGACAGCAACACACCCTACTATCGACAGAGTCTATTATCGACAGAGCATCGGCTTACTCCCCAAAAACAAAACGCTGCAACCTATGCATAACCGAAAAACTTCACATAATATATTCAGACAAACAGTCAATACTAAACAAAAGAACTGAGCTATTGTCTAAATGCAGGCACAACAACAAATACTTACTTAAAACCAATTAACTCATTTGCATTTTCATCTGCCTTAGAATTCATATACTCACACAATTGTATTGTATTGTATTCCCTCACTCCTGAAGATTGCATTAGCATGAAACAGTCTGTAGA